TGGAAAAGATAAAAAGGGATAAATCGGGCTAGATGGATGCATGGATGAATGGATCCCCAACGATCCTCAAACTCCTAATCCCCAAAAGGCCGGTAACGTACTTGCAACGCCTCTGGTGTTCCAGGTGTCCATGGGCGACGCCGATTGCTTATCATCAGGTGATCCGTCTGCTCGTTTACCGGCTCATGCCATAAAAAAAATGGAGTTATGTTTTGTGAAGAAGAAAATAAATAAATAAATAACAATGACGTCATTTAATGTAAATTTTTGTTCCACACTAACAAGTGCAGGACTAATGCCGGGGCGCGCGCGCCTCTTCGTCGCTTAGTGGAAATATATAACTTGCATTTCATGGGTCTGGACATGTTTTGTCTTTCAAAACATAGATTTAGAAAGCAGGCCGTGGAGCTTTTGACTGCTGGGTTGCTGCAGTAATGGTTGGCTATTAATTAGTATTCTTTTTCTTAATCATAAGTACAATGTACAATGGTTTTTTGTTGTATCCTTTTATGTATCAATATTTAGTAAATTTTAATATAATTAAATTACGATAACACTACCGCAACACGGTCGTTATTGCCGTTATATTTTATACTAAATTGTGGGCAATGGTGTGGGTTACATATTTATTGTAGTTGTTGTTTAATGTAAAACTTTTATGTAAAATCTTAATATGTAACTGTTTTTTGTCCCTTAAATAAATAAATAAATAAACTTGTGTGTATTTTGTCTTCTTGTGTTCTGATTTGAAATAAAATGATTTCTTCTACATTTCCTAAACTATTGTTTTATTTATTCTCATAATATTATTATCAGACCGGACAGATCCTAAAGTACCCCCTAATTAAGCCCCATATATAAACATTAACAGCTACGAGTGTAACTGCGGTTCGATTCCTGGTTGCCCTCATTATAAACTTCATAAAAATTGAAACTACCTCGTTGGTATATTCTTAAGAAAGGCAAAAATAGAGAAAGGAGTCTCGAGTTCGATTCTCGAGTTGGTAGAAATTATAATAGTACCAATTTTCAAAATGCTCGTAGGAATATAATAATGAAACAATATATAATGTGTCTCTGTTAGACATAACTTTGCAAGTTATTACAAAGCTATTAATAACAATGCCTGCACGCCTCGGGTTCAATTCCCATGTCACAAAAATACATATTTGACTTGCCTACCTACTTATTACATTAATCAAGTTCTTTGTGCATACCTATGGATAATTCTCAACTACCTATACGGGAAGTGAAAACTATCATTTTTTTCTTCTCCTCTTATAATATCATCTGATTCACTTCGTTGCGGGAACCAAGACAGTTACTCATGTCCCTGGGACGCGCCGGACTTCAGTGTTCCGGTGTTTTCATGGTTGTATCTACTGTAGATCCTGGTGCACAGGAGTTCCAGTGGTTTTGGGAGCCTGTATCTATTAAAAATAACTTATAACAGATTTGAATAAGTAGCATCTGATTTTAGTTGTACGGCTTCTTACATACCACTTCTCTATGCTCTTAATTCCACAAACAAGAAAATTTTTCGGACCAAGAATATAATTTGTCATGTCAAAAAACAATCAAATAATCTAATTGGTCTCCTAGCGAATCCCTAAAGACTAAGGTTTAACTATAACCGCGCCTACTTAACATAATTGCTATAATTCTGTCCTATGGGAGTTGTTTACCGGTTGCCATGGAAACTGAGACCATAACAAATCATTTGGGCTTTTCTATTGGCTCTGGTGTTTGTATGGGCAAATGAATAGACGGATCACCTGATGGTAAGCAATCGGCGCCGCCCATGGACACCTGGAACACTAGCGGAGTTACAATTGCGTTATCAGTTTTTTTAAGTGATAGGCATTTGAGTATTGAGGATGAGAGTGGGAAGATTGGGTCCCCACTGTCGCTATTTATCTTACTCATACGGCGAAAGACAACGCAAGCGTTGTTTCACGCCGGATTTCTGTGAAGGCGTGTGTTACGAATTATGATACAAGATTAATAACAAGTTCGATTCCTGGGTGAATCAATACTTATGGGTAACACATAGTTATGTCATGTATGACTCATTTCGCGTATCGATCTCCGGCCACCGCCGCCCAACTAGAACCAGAGCCGAACGTACGGCATACCTAACCTGACATCGAACTAGGCACCTCGAACAAATAAAATCTCAAAAAAAAATGATTAAAATAAAATTATATACTAAACAAATATTTTTGTTTCATTTATTATCCTGAAATTATACCCACTGGCTTAGACACGTTAGAGAAAATTAGATACCTGTTACATGTATGTTTAGTCGGTATCATCACTAATTAGTAAGAAGTGGCCCCCTCACTATAATGTGTTATATAAGGTAGGACACTATTCATTAACGAGGCTGTCTACCTGTCATAGTCTAAGTGTGTTTACACGTCGTGCGCCCTGCACATTATTATAATAAATCCAAGTAAAATAAATCCGACTACAATTATTAAATCCACCAACATAACAGTACCTACTCGAGTCGACTAGTTTCAAACCAGATAAGGGCTCATACAACGCCGAACAGTTGCGTTATTAAACCGTCATCATGTCTAATTAATAGAAAGTCTCATAATAGATCTGATATTCGTAAGTTGTGTGATTGTATTATGTCAGCCAAGGAAGAGAACTTGGGTTCGATTCCCGGGTCAGACACGCAATACTATTGTATATAGAATTTGACTGAACGGTTGGCGCTGTGGCTGGGCAACTGACTGCCGTGAAACATGCCGCGGGTTCGATTCCCGCACGGAACAACTCTTTGAGTGATCCACAGATTGTTGGTCTGAGTCTGGGTAAAATGTGTGTGTGAACTTGTATGTTTGTAAACGCACCCACGACACAGGTAGAATCCTAGTTTGGGGCAAAGTTAATAAAATGTAAGTACGGCTATAGGCTCACCCCCTAAGACTCGAATCATAACAAATACAAAATTCTGTGTTATATGGTAAGTAGGTATCTATAAATCGTAAAATCTATTTCGTTTTCGTCCCGAAGTAAAAAGGTTCTGTCTCGGTAATACAATAGTTTTACAAACAAATACAATGTTTAAAACAAACAATCTGGTGAACCATTGCTAACAGCAAACTTCGAAAGCGCATACGAACTCATAGTACATTATCAAAACATCACGCCATGTAATTCTCGAAGAGGTATTTCTCGTCGGGTGCACGTGCGATGCGAATAGTGCCTACATATTTACGTTTAGTGACTTTATTGTTTTTCATTTTTACTCTCCACCTGTACGATGTATCATCGGTACATCGAAAGAGCGAAATAATTTTACGAAATTTATCCAAAACGAAATAGATTTCACGGTGTATTGTGCACTTACTATAGACTATAGGACTATAGGTCGCTTAGAGGATTAAAAGATAAATTATGATTTACATAACATGTAAATAAAATATATTTAAGGTTAATATGCACACACATACTTAAAATCACGCCTTTTACCCCCGAAGGAGTGCACATTACGGCACTTAATGCCACTGTACAATGTAACACCCACTTTTCACTATTTATGTTATGAGTCTCTTTTAATAGGGGGTGAGCCTATTGCCATATACCGGGCACAATTCCAGACTCTGTGCTACCACTGATTCAGATTTTTTTTAAAACCCAGTATTACTTTGTCCGACCCGGGCATCGAACTTGAGATCCCTTACCCAGCAGTTGAACTTGCGACCAATCGGCCAACGACGCAGTCAAGTTTTTTTATGTATATACTTGATGCGCCGAAGTTTGTCCACTATCTCGCCTGGTGGTGCACGATGATGCGGTCTACGATGGAGCACGTCGCCCCATAAGCAACCTATTCACTCGGGCCTTGAAGACACCCAGGTTATGCCTACAAGGCAAGGATGCATAATAGTAGGGGAGCCCACGATGCTAAATTGGGATTTACTTGAGCGTCCTTGGGACCTACTGGATTTTGAAGATATGCTGATAGAAAGAAGAAATGGTTTAGTGACAATTTCTTCCACCAGTGGGGGAAGGGGGAATCTACAGATCTTTGAAATTGTTAAGCGTAACTTTTGTTCTAGTGGTCAAGCGTGTCAGATATTGATAATGTACATGCTCCATGTGTATTTAATAATAAAAAACTCTTAATCTGCCAGTTTGCATGGTGGGGTTGAATGTTCTGGAGAGTACAAACGAGAACCCTTCAAAATCCCCCCACTCCTGCAAATCAAGTTGGAATGGGCAGATTTTTTAAACGCACTTCCTTTAGCACGGTATTGACCTACCTTCCCTTAATCTGACGAAACTGACTTTATTTAGTCAGACTTTTTTTTTAATTTTCAGTCCCCCCCTTCTAATCAGATCGGACATATGGTGGGTATATTCAACATGACACTAGGTTTTCCCCATATGTTAATCTGACGCGCTCGAGTAACTACCGAAATCCCTTCATGGGCTCCCCTACTATAATATTCTATTGAATTGTCGACCACTCTTAATAAAAGTGTAGACATTTGGAAATAGACAATTTTGTATTATATCTTATTACGATCATCTATTTATAAACAACAAAAAGAAAAACTTTCTCAGGATTTTCATGATTCTAAGTAGGTTTTAATGGTATATTATAAGCCGATAAACGAGCAGAAGGATCAACTGAAGCCGATACGGAGCCGCGGAGGACTCAACGGGTTACCGGGGCTCCGGCTCGAAGTGCAGAAGTAGGAACGGGGTGGTTTTTAGTCAGTAAGAGCCTGACACTTCCTATCACCTCACCCAGGCGGGAGAAGCCATTGAATA